ACATTAAATTTACCATTAAAGAAAATTGCATCAATCTTTCCAAGCCTATGGTTCTGACTCACAGTGACGCTGAATCAGGTTCCAACGCTAAAAATCTTTACAGGAGGAGACTGCCTATCTTCCTCTCATGGAACAGCTGACAAATTTGAACTTTGAACTTTTAGCTAATATTATGCTACATTCATTGCTATCAGATGAACTTTAGTGAATTTTATGTTGAAAAACAAGTTTCCACAAAGTTAGACCCTTCCATTGTTAAAGAAAATCTGGGTCTGTATTTCCCTCTGTTGGTATTGTTGGTTTTATTAAATATATAAAAGACTGCTGTAAAATTAGTACTCTGTGTGTATGTCTTTTACATATTTATATCTCTTACTATAATATATATAACAGGTTAAATATCTCATACTAGCCCAAGGAGGTGCGTCTGATACAGGCCATGGACTTCGCAATCACTTGTTGTGCATCAGAGAGTTGGACAATGACTAAGGAGGACAGAAGGAAAATTGATGCCTTTGAGCTGTGGTGCTGGAGAAGAGTATCGAGGGTACCATAGACAGCTAAGAAAACAAACAGATTCATCCTGGAAAGGGTTAAACCGGGTGGCTCGTTGGAGGCAAGGATTCTGAGGCTCCGTCTAACATACTTTGGACATGTTGTAAGGAGGGACCGGTCCTTGGAGAGGGACATCATGCTTGTGAGGGTGGAGGGACAGCATAGGAGGGGAAGTCCCTCTATGAGGTGGATTGATTCAGTGACTGGGGTAATCGGGATGGGTGCGTAAGAGACAGTGCAATTGGCACAGGACAGAGCACAGTTCAGGGATGTTATACATAGGGTCAATATTAGTCACAGGCAACTCAATGGCACATAACAACAACAACATCCACAACATCCCAAGGGGAAAGACCAGCAAACAAAATCTGCTATGTCTATAGGATATAATTCAGTACATGGAGAACAACAATGACTTTCTAGTCACTGTTCATTGCTATCCAGAGGGCATCAACTCAATATATTCTATAAATCCTCATATAGAAGATTTCTCCTTATGAAAGTGAAAGCAATGAAGGTTATATTTGGAAGTTTGGAGAAGGTCTAACTGAAAATTATGGATGTTGCATCATCTCAAACAGATAAATAATAAAATACAAAGAGTCCAGATGAAGTTATTTGTACAGAGTATGATGAATATGCCAAAGCTTAAGGAGCTCGGGTCATATAGACTGTTGTGTGTGGCACTACTAACCAAAAGGCCTCTAGTATTAGTGGTTCTAATCCATTAGTGGCTTCATGAAGAGAGATAGACAGTGTTCTCCCATTGGAGCCTCAGAAACTTAATATAGGTTAGTTATTAGTAGGAACAGACTTGACTGCCATGAATGAATGAGAGTAACCATTACCAAACACTATCATTTAAGGAGTGTTGGAAAAGATAAAGTGTTTGTGGAGAAGTTATTAATTCTGTATTACACACATATTAAAAGTAGGGAATATGGACAGAAAATCTGGAAAGCATCTTTTTTAAAAACATATGATAAAATGACTTAATTTTACAACTGGCTGCCTATAAATCATTTAATGTCTAATGGTCACTAAATTCGGAATAGTTGACATGTTGATATATGATTTGTGAGGGTCCACTTCATGTTTTTCTAGCTCTAAATATGCATGAGTCTACGACTCAAGATTTCTTAATAGCAAGAAAATTATTTTCCATCTTATGAACACTGAAGTACAGAAAGTATTTATTTAGAGTAAATTTCCACCTTCCTCAAGTATAATATTGTTAGAGAAAATACGCTTTTACCATTTTCAAATGAAGTCAGATAAATGTTCTATCACTTCAGGGTTTTTTTTTTTCATTCTTAGTTATAGTGTAACCAATCATTCAGTAAACGTCTCAGAAGTAAAATATAATTTAGTCCTTGTTGCCAATGTAGTGGAAGGGCATACAGTCTTAAATAAGAAGACATGGCCTCAGACTCTCATGAAGTCACAATGTAATGAGTGTAATAGGTGCATAAAATCACTGGCTATGATGGTTCCTTTCATTGGTTGCAGGTGAATTCACCTCAGTTCAGACTCTGATTTTGCAGTTGGGGCACAAGACTTTCTAGACTTCTTCCAAGCTTGCTAAATACTAAGTAATGTCTTCCTTCATTACAATGTATTCCATGCCTCACATAATGATAGCATATCATTCCACAAAATACAAAGAAATACCAGAAGAAATGCCTTTGAATTAGTCTTCCAACACCTATGTGGTATGCAAAATGGCTATTTTGTGTTAGAGTTTGACCAAAAGAAAGGGATACAGGACTAAGTTTAAGTTAGTAAAATTTCTGACTTTTAGGTTTCACTCACTTGTTGCCAGAAAGTCAGTGTCTGATGCTGTAAATTACATGGGAGGAGATTGCCCATCTTTCTCCCACAGAGCTCCTGGTGGACTTAAACCACCAGAAAGGTGTCACCTTTGGGTAGGAGCAAAACTCCCTTAGGACTATGCCTCTAGAGCGCTCTTTTTATTTTTCTGTTTGTTGGTTTGTTTGTTTGTTTTCATTTATGTTTATTTCAGTACTGTCCAGTGAAAACCAAAATGTAGGTTGAGCACGTCAAAATTAAAGTTAGGTAAATATACAGTGCTTTGTATTGATTTGTTAATTAATGCAAAATATTAATTAATAGATGATTTGGCTTTGGGGGAGGGTCTAATAGCAAAAGGAAGAATTTGGAACTTCCTTAAAATTAATGCAATGTAACTTTCTGTACCTACAATGAGGCCAGAAGGATGACTAGTGAGAACTGAGAAAAAAATTTGTTAAACCCTGAGACATTGGTGAAAAGTTTACTTAATTAGACTCTCTCATAATATTTCAAATAAATGGTGCTTACTTTCTTCACTTCTGTTGATTTTGTAATAACGTTCTCATTTTCAGAGTGTTCAGTCGCAAAAGTTACGTATGTCTTACAGCAAGAAATTTTTTTTGCCTCAAACATTTACTTATTTCATGACAAAGATTTAAATGAATTTCTGTTTTATTATTAGTGATTTGAAATGTTGTTTTCCCCCCTCACTAGAGAAATATTAAAATAAAAATGTACAAATTAATAGTTGGTTTTCTTTTAAACATTTCTTCTTGTAACTGAAGATAATATGTAAAAATGGAACCTAAACACATCACATATTTTCAAACAAATGGAGTGAAAACAGATGATTGTCTTAAAAATTGTTTCATATGTTTAACTGAGTGTTTTAGTTTATCTTTTCCCTCTTTTATTTGATTAGTCTGAATAGGTAAAGATACTTCATTTGTGGCAAAACTTAAATGGTATAATTGTTAAAAAAAGGACGGAAAATGTTTCCTTTCCATTCCTTCCTATTGGGGTAATTTGAAATGTCCACTTAATCAGCTGTACACAGAAATGTTACCAGGGTAGAATACTTTCTCAGTTTTACCACTTCCTGAGTTAAATTGACAGTTCACATAAGATAAATTTGACAAGGGCTATGGCTGGTGACGAAAGGATGAAAAGAGAAATAAATGAATATATTTTCTTTTTCATCTATAATTATTTTTTTTCCATAGCAGGTTAATTACATGACATTTGAGGTGAAAAAAGGGAAGACAGGGAGTTGGAGTGTGTAAATATATTATATGCAAAAAAAACCACAAAGGTAACTAATTCATTGAAGCTTATTTATCTTCCCTTTGCAATATTTCTAAGTCTCCACTGGATAGCTGTGTGTAAGACAAAATATGTTGACCTAGCTAAGAATTAGAGAAGCGATGGTCATTTTTATCTTCGACACAAAATTAATGACCCTTGTGATGTTTTCAGAGAGGCATTACCCCACATACTCACCACCTCGTTCATAAGTGACACTTTTTTCTCCTACTAAATAGCTGTGCTTCCTCATTCTGCAGACCCTGAAATCCTCTGTATATACTATTTAAGGTGATAGAAAGCCGGCAGGACATCACAACTTGAATGGTCTATGCCTCTCTGTTATTTGAAATAGAAGGCATACATTTAGGATTTTTTTGTTTGTTTTTGCTTACCAATAGTAAAGATATAGGCAGAGTTTTTAATCATCTAAAACACATAGATACAACATATGTAGTGACTGAGTATGAGAAAAAATCTAGTCATCATGTCTTTGGAGATAGATAATCAGATACTCAGCTTGTGGGTATTGGCACCTAAGTGTTGTTATCCTTTGCCTGATGTCTGAAATTTTACATAAGAATATTAATGTGAAATAAGAAAAACCTAAAAAAAGAATTTTCTACTTAAAAAAAGACTAGATGAAAATACTTATATGCATCATGATGATACAGAATATCTAGACATTTAGTCTTGTTTTTAATATCCAAAGTTAAATGTCAATTTACTTATATTTTAATTTCAGTAAATTTATCTCAATCATCTAAGATGATGAGTTATTTCCTTTAAAAAGAGGTGATGTTCTCTCCTTTTCTCCCCTTTCTTCCATCCCTCTAAGGGGAAAAAATATGACATTTTTATCCACCCTCCCTCTTATTAATAAGATCCTATGTTCCCCACACCCTTCCTTGCCTCCCCCTTCCTCAAATGAGGTACAGTCCCTTGAGACTGTAATTGCCAGGAGATGAAGCGATGATGGGGAGTGATCACAGTCAATAGCTTTGATTAACAATAAGGTTGAAAATTAGCAATGCTAGCATTCAGCCACCCTGCCCTCTCCCTCCTCCATATGCTCCCCTCAGTCGGTGCTGGCGGCCTCGCAGAGGGCAGTCAGAGCCCTTCTCCAGCTTTGAAGTGCAGCAAAGGTGCAGGCAGAGCAAAGAATTAGGGAAATTAAAGAGACGGAGTAGAAATTGTAAACCATAATGCTGAGACCTTCGCAGGGCTTAGTGTGTCTCAGGAGGGGCGAGGATGAAGTGTGCTGTGTGTTGTCCTTGTGCATTTTTCTGTCACATGTGGATTTACTTGTATCTGGACATGCTGTGATCGAAATGGCAACTACTGTTACTACTGTGACCCCATCAGCAGCTCTGGTGTTGTTTCCTACAGACCCTGAAGACCTAGAAAGGGGGAGCGACAGCGGAACACCAATCCCCACCTCTGATAATGATGACAATTCGCTGGGCTATACAGGTAGAGTGACTTTTTCCCAAATACTAACTTCCATTCCTTCTAAAACCTGCCATCCGTCATCAACCACCTGTGTAAAATTATCCAATCATCCCTTCTTTCAATTAACAACCATAGCTGCTGCTTTCCTCATTTTCCAGAGTTCATTCTTCAGTTGGACAGTCATACTGCGGGAGTAAACACTTTGAGAGAAAGGCATAAAGTATAAAAACAGCATTTATTCTTGGTTTTCTACTTTTAATGTAAAAGAGGGATCACCATCTGAAACTTAGAGATTGCTCAAAAGTTTACAATTTCATATTTTAAGAATTTAGTATTCAATTACACTACTGTGGGGGGGGGGGAGTTCACCCGTTGATAATCTGGTTTCATTATTATTTGAGCATATTTATTTTTGTTACATTAGTAGTTACAGAAAGCAAAGTCCTAACAAGATTAATGCATATCATAGTTACCAGCTGATATCTCACAATTGTGCTTTCATGACCCACTACCTTATCCGGGAACGACTTCTGAAAAAATCATGTATAGATCAGCATGAAAAAAAAAAAAAACAATTTCACTAATTGAATTTGATAGACCTAATTACCATAGACATAGCTAAGAAGGATCACTCTGAAAATATTTTGCAATTTCTTAGTCCTAGAAAAGAAATGTCATAAATTATGTCTAACCAATATAACTGAAACTATAAATATGAACAAAGAATAAAACACATCCCCTAGAACTCATTGAATCAGATTGTGATATAATGATATAATAGAGGTCTAGTTGTAAATGTTGTTGTGTGCCATCAAGTAGCCTGCCATTCATAGCAAACCTACTATAGTTCTGAACCCTGTCTTATCCCAAGCCAGGCTAACTGACGACAACACACCTACCCCATTAACCCATTTACTGCGTCCATCTACCTCACCTGGGGTCTTCCTGTCCTGCACTGTCCCTCCACATTTCCAAGCATGATGTCCTTCTCTTTTCATTAGCACTTGTTCACACTGTTCTCTATAGACTCCACTAGTAGATAGTGGTGTGTATCTGTGAGTTGAGATTGTTGGTTGTTAGGGATAATAGAGAACTTGTCTATGTCATTGCAGTCTTACGATGTGTTTAAGGAAAGAATAATAATCCAACTGGACACATTTCAATCTATAAATGAGATTATAAAATATAAAAGAATAAATGAATCCTTTGTTTCAGATGTATAGTCACTGTCAGCATTGAAACATTGCTCTTAATTTCTTCCCTCGTCTGCACAATCTCAGATTTAAATGTTTCTTTTATAAATGAGGTAAGATTTATTACATATATTCATTTCCTTCTTACAGAGAGCATTCTCACTTTGCTCCTTTGAGAATGTAGTTTTAGAATGAAGTTTAAAAGACAAAAAAAAAATGAACACTACTGGTGGTAAGCTGATTGAAAGTCAGCATGATACTTTGTCAGAAACTTAAACTTGTAAATGTCATTCTTTCACGTTGTAAATATGGAGAAAGTTGCTATTTTTTTAAGGAGTCAAAAGCAGTATTCTTTCTCATGAGTACCCTCTTGTCCCTTTTGCCCACCCACTCTAACCAACTGCATTGTTTTGTTACAGTGATAGGATTTACTCTCTTTTATCGGTTTATTAAAAATTATACACAGTCAAAACATGATGTACTATTAAGATAATTTACAAAATAATGCATCTAAGTGTAGATGTGACCCTTTTAATTTTCTTTCTCTTACTTATTCTTCTCCCCTGTTGGATTAATCAGTGATCAGGTTCCTGCTATTAAATATATACCCAAATTAGTTAATGTGAGGAGGCTAAATTATAAAATTGTCTTTATATTCTGCAAGGGAATTCATTAAAGCAAAGTAATTAAATGCCAAAAGACTGGGAAATAAAATTCTGAATACTCTCCTCTCTGAGATTTTAATTGTTCATTTGTTACTCTGTACATTTTTAAAGTAAATAATTGATTATCCAAAAACTGATTTCCTACTGTATGAAATAACTGCTATTTTCATTCCTTTCATTGGCATATTGTATTCTGGCCATTATTTTTACTTACTCAACTTTCACTTGAAAGTGTTAAGAAACCAAAAAATAGAAAAGTACTATGGTAATAACTTATAAAGAGCTGCCATTAAATATGGAGTCAAATTACTAGGGCAAACCTTTGCTTGAAACTGTCCTTAGATTACCTTTCCATGTAGGTTGTATCTGTGCAAGTGTGCATGTAAATTGTCTTTACAGTGATAAAAAAAAATTGAATTGATTGAATCTCTAGAAGTAACTAACTTCAGAGAGATGTGAGATAGTCTATCTATCTAGTCAGCAACAGTTTTATATATCTAATGTAGAATTTAATACATCTAGAGTTTGGTACACATATTATAGGTGCCCTGGATATAGTAGCAAGAAAATTATAAGTAATAAACTGCAAATACTTATTAATCTAGAAAACATAAAATAAGCAAATAAATGATTGATATGCATTTTCATTAAAGTTAACAAAAAGATAAAAGATTATATATAAATACTGTATTTTCTGTACTATATTTCAAAATGATGATATAAATTACCATATATATGTGTATGTGTGTTTGTGCTCTAATACATACTGCTTTACTTCATTTTCTTCCTTGCCTTTAACAGTTACTATATAGATGTAAACGCATATACAGTCCCCCAAAAGCATCAGTTTATTACAATCAACAATCATATACTCCAACTTCTCCTTTCTTATAGACACTAAAAAGAATATTCTTTTCGTTGCAACCAATTTGTCATTACAACATCTGCTCTGGTTCTCAAACCATTTGGGACCATCACTATCAAATTGACCCATCAAACTAGAGTCTCATATCATATACTTACGTTTATTACTTTTATCGATGAGCTTGTCAACAAATAGCAGTGTCTTCAAACTACTTCTTTGCTGCTTAAAACTTATACCATTCTTATTTAAACTGGATAAGCAGTTTTATTAAGTGGACTAGAAAATGAAATAAATTAAAAGTAATCTAGTCTTTCAGGAAAGAAACAAATATTGATTTCTTTTTTCTCCCTCACTATCTCTAGATACAATACTATAAAGCCATGCAGTCTTTTAAAATATTTCAATGTCTTGCTTTCTAATCAATGAATGTAGAGCAATTTCTAAGGTGGCACTGTGGTACATTATTAAATTGAACTCGTGCATTATTTACAGAGAAGTGACCCATTTCCTGTTTAACCAAGCATGCCATAAATATTGAAGGTTATTTAACAGTTCACAGTATACTGCCTTTGTTGCTAGAACAAGTAAGATAGAGTTTCAAATCAGCAATTTATGGGGTCAGACCTAGATCACAAAGAGGCTGAATATATTATAATCAATTATTTTTGTTAAAGGAGTTTCTGAAGATAGCACATTGTTTATAGACTGCTACAAGTGCATATGGTATTTTGGAAACATGGAAAAATGGAGTAATGTGTCTAAGAATGTATAATGTATGTATGTACATAATCCATGTACAGACTTCTGGCAAATGCCTGAGTCAATAATACTAAATGTAAAGAAAAATTTATTGTTACATAAAAATTAAGGAAGGAAGTAGGAGATAAAAATATTCTACAGTTGTTATGTGCCATCAAGTCACCTGCAACTCATAGCGATCCTATGTACTACAGCTCTGAAGCCTGCTAGCAATTTAAATATGTTATAAAGAAATCTAACTTGATCCATATTTTTTTCTGAGTGCCAGAAATTTTATAAATTTGACTCATAATGCCAAAAATTTTTTTTCTTACTTCTGCATGCTGAATATAAGATATGTTCTTTATCCCTTTAGGCTTATATTAATGTTTTACATCTTCTATTTACCATACTGTAATAGAAGACAGCTAAATTAAAATTCTAATTAAGAGGGAGCTCTAGTGACCTAGTGAGTAAGGAGTTACACTTCCAATTCAAAGGCAAGCAGTTCAAATCCACGATCAGCACCAGGGATGAAAGATGGGCAATCCCCTCCTATGTGAGTTGCTCTTGTGTACCATTGAGTCAGACCCGTTCCATAGCTGACCCTCAATCAGGGTTTCAGAGGCAGTTAATCCTGCTAGAGGAGACTACCCATCCTTCTCCTGTGGAGCTGCTGGTGGATTCGAACTGCATGCCTTCAGGATTGTAGCATAGCTTCTTACTTTGCCTCTGGAAGGTCAACTATGAGTCTGTTCCAACTCAGTGGAACATAACAAAAACGGTATCTTAAAACTGAACTGTCTTCAGAGTTGTCAGTCTCAAATAAAATTAAACTGCAAAATGTTAGAAATTGTAGAATAATTTTAAATAGGAATCATTGAGAAGCCAACACTTTAACAACACCTAGCAAAATTTAGTTACAATTCAGTTGATAAGGAGGGGGGATTACATGATCTTTTTTTTTTAAAAAAAAGGAATGCATCTGTAAGAAGATAACTTGTTTAGAATGTTTTCCTCAATGTGCACAAATAAAAAGTCCCAATGTTTACCTCCTAGTTTAGAATCTTAACATATTAACTCTTAATTTATGGTAACACTGACTTTTCTATCCATCTAGATTCATAACTGTATAGTTTTATAATTAGAAGCTAACAGAAATTTGATCGCTTTGTGTGAGTTTTAAAAACTATGTTGAAAATAATAAGGATTCTCTGTTTATAATTGCTTCTTATATGCAAAGTCATTTTTCCAATCATTTGACATATAAGAACTCATTTTATTCTCATAACAACTCTCTCAGGGAGACAGTATTAATAGCAACTGTTCCTCATGTCTACTTTAATGCTCTAGAAAAATCATATTCTCAAAGAAATTGTATCTTTTTCAACTTCCTGGAGTCTTGGATTTAAATGAGGTTGTGTCTCTAAACTACATTTAAACACTTGATTGGAAATTAAATAGATCAGCCATGCTCCTTTTATAAAACAGCACAGTTCATGAGGCCAATCAGTATTGGAGGTCTCCATGTATTCTCATCCCAAACTACATTATCACAGT